ACATGAAGTGCTTGGAAATAAGCTCAACATACAAATCCTTATTTGTAATTGAAAAAAAACCCATCATACAATTCCATACATAAAATGTCTGAAAAAAACTCAATCTAATTTTTCAGACATTTAATATTAGGAAAACCTTAAATCAATTCCATACATAGTATTTGGAAAACAGCTCATCATACAACTTCATACATGCATTACTTGGGAAAAAACTTATCACAATTCCATATATGTAGTACTTGAAAAAATTATCTCATTCTACAATTCAAAAGATGCAGTAGGTGAAAAAAAAGATGCAGTACGGTTCATGTAGTTCTATAAAAATTTCATCATACATTTCTATAAATGTAGGATTTGGAAAAAAAATTCATCATGCGCTTCCATTTTAGCAGTTTTTGGAAAAAAGCTCATCATACAATTCCATACATTAGGTACTTGAAAAGAGCTCATTATACAATTTCATACATGTAGTATTTGGAAAAAAGGCTCATCATACAAATCCATTTTTGTAGTACTTGGAAAAAGCTCATCATGCAATTCTATACATGTAGTTTTTGAAAGAAATAGCACATCATAGAACTCAATAATTGCAATACTTGGAAAAAAGCTCATCATACAGTTCCATACATGTACTTGGAAAAAAATCATCATAAATTTTCATACTGATTTGTTTGGAAAAAAGCTCGTCATACAATTACAGATATAAATTAATTTAAGAAATATTATCATACAATACCATGCTTGTAGTACTTGACAAAAAAGCTCATCATACAATTCCATGAATGCAGTACTAGGAGAAAAGCTCATCTAACAATTCCATACATGTATTGCTTGGCAAAAAGCTCATCATAGAATTCCAAACATGTAGTACTTGAAACGAAGCTCATCACAATTCCCTACATGTAGTATTTGATAAAAAGCCTATATTGCAATTCCATACAAGTTTTCAGTAGAAAAATTATCTGCCATACAATTTAAGAGTTTCTGGTTTCCAGCTGATGTAATAGCTAACCGCATCCAAATTTAGGCCTAAGTAATCAATTTTAACGGATTCTATGACAATTAAAATTCCTTATAGAAACCAAAATTATGTGTTTAAAAGACTTTAATTGATTATAATAGTGATATTTTCCAAGAGATTGTAAGCTCTTATAATCGATTATAGATTTTAATCTCTTATTTTGTCAAAAATTTGTCAAACCAAAAACAATACTCGAATTACATCTTATTGGTTAATAATTTTGTATCAATAACAAAACCTCTAAGAGATATCTCTTGTCACACTTTGGTACATCTTAACACAAAGTTTTACTACAAAACAAAAGTTTCATAGATAACCTTTTATATTAGTTGAAAGGTCCCTGCGGTATGTGAAAATTAATTCTTCCGAATCAATCATGAAACTAGATCAAATAATTGATCTATTACTAACTCAATTAAAATCAATTAAAGTTTATTAAAAATAATGCATTACGAGGCCAAACTGTGCATTATGTGCATTGTAAGCAGATTCCGCAACAGACCCAAATCAGATTGGTCGCGGAAACAAATACCTAAAACACTGTACCGTTCAAAATTGGTCCAAAATTAGGCGAAATTGCGGAATCCACAACCGTATTTGCGGAATCCATAACATTTTGTGCAATCCACAGACGAAAAATTAAACATCTGTATAGTTGAATTGAGCTGTTGCGGAATCTGCAATTGTAAGCAGAATCTGCAAAATTGTAAGTGGAATCCCCATTTTGTTTGAGGATTCTTTTTACAAATTTGTATGTGTAGTAGCGTTTAAAATTATATCTTTTATACTACGTTAATCAGCTACCAGTTGAAATGCCAAACGTGTGATCTCAATTCCTGTCAAACACCCAAATTCGATCTGAAATCCTGTCGAACATACCCAACTTCGATCTCAATTCCAGTCAAACAGACGCAACTTCGATCTCATCTCATTTCTTGTCAAACAGACGCAGTTTCGATTTCATCTCATTTCTTGTCAAACATACCCATCTTCAATCTCACCTCCTACAAAAACTTAACTTCGATCTCAATTCCTGTCATCAATCTAAATTTTTGCAATCTCAATTCCTGCCAACTGAACAAACGGAAATAAATTTAATCATCAGTTCTTTTCAAGCCATTCAATTCAAATAAAAACAAATTCAGTCATTTTGAAATATTTTCAAATTGCGAAACCTGAACATACTATGGCTTGAAACCAGAACGTGTATTTGAAGTTAAAATTTAATTCTGCTGTAATTCAAGTTGTGGTAATTTTTATCTAATATTAATTTACTCAAATTAGTTAAATAGATCCTTTACTCCCAGTGAACAAAAAAACTCAGGAAGATAATTGACCCGCAAGAACAATTTTGACAGGCCGGCGCAATTTTCAGAACATAACACATGCCGAAAACAGTGAAAATAGTATGGAAAAGTAGAATGCGGTTAAATCAAAAAGCTCAAATAAAAACCAACAGTCATAACAAACAGTAAACAGTTCAAGAAGTTCTTTCTCCATGACGGCATCCATACAATAGCCTCCTCCTAGTTGAGTTTAGAAATAAATAAGGTAAAAAATCCTATGTCTTACCACTAGCCAAAAAACATGAGGACACAGAACAATAAAAAAAAAACTGATTTAATGCTTGAATAAAATTGCAAAAAAACCAAATGGTCCCTTGAACTAGTCCATTGACAGCCTACGTACGCCTTATAGTTGACTGAAGAGCTCGTCAACGACAAAATTCGAAAAGATACAGCAGAGAGCCGAAATTATCAAGATAACAATGTAAAAAAGAGTTTTCGATTGGAACGACCATTATATCAGAACACAGGAAAGCTCATGTGTAAAATGCATGCTGACTCAGTAGCGCACACGTCTAGAGAACAAATTAGAACATTTCGAACAAAGAATCCAATTTTTTCAAGGATTGAGATGATTTCTCAAAAAAAATTGAAAAATTTTTGAAAATTTTCCAAAGTTTAACTAATTTTTGGCCGCCTCTATCTATTCAACTATAAATTGGACCGACCTATTTTTGTAATTGGCTAAAGCCAATTATTGGCTTAATTGACCCATTCAAAAAAGAGAAAATTTTTGTTCGTAAAAAAATTATTCTTTCAGGACTCTGAACATCCAATAAAAAAAAAATTGGTGACGCTCTAAAAAAACAACCACTGATCAAAAAACTGAAAAATTTAACCACCACATTTTAAACTATGATCTACTCTAAAATGATTGTTTATTGATAATAAGTTATACTTTGACTTCAAAAACATACTAAAAATTAAAAATTCTGAAAAAACTTCAAAATTGACCTCGTTTTCCCTACACTCCAGATGATGTATTTTTTCAAACTTTTGTTTAAAAAATGTGGTTTTAAGTTTTTTCCTATTGCCAAGAACTCACGTTTAAAAACCATTTAAAATCAGAAAAGTAGCCTTGTCACAATGCTATGCTGAAAAATGTCGAGCCAACCAACACCTCAGCAAAAAGCAAAAAAAAAACACCCTAAAAATTAGGTTGACTGAAGAGCTCGTCAACGACAAAATTCGAAAAGATACAGCAAGGAGCCGAAAGTATCAAGATAACAAAGTAAAAGGTAGTTTTCGATTGGAACGACCATCATATCAAAACACAGATCTTAACACAGATGAGATTCTGTCATCTCATCCCAAATACTATCTTCATGATTTGAAATGACGCTCCCAAATACTGAATCTCAAATACAAAACCCCAAATACTGAATCTCAATAACTGAATCACAAATACCGACCTAATTCGGCGATATGACAACCCAATAAAGAATTAACCTAATTACCAAATAAACCCAATAATTTATTCGGTGTTGTGTTTTCAAAACCATGATACCAAAAACAGCTTGCAAATACTTAAGTGTGACATCCATCGATTCATTCACTGATGTTTTAAGATTTGTTCGTGGATTCCGTTGACAATGGTTAAGTACTTGCTTTTAAATTCCGGAAGTGCATATGCAAGTTCAGTAATAAACAAATTTCTGAATTCCTTTGCAGTTTGCGGAAACCGCTTACATTTGCGGATTGCGCATACAAATTTTGCGAATTCCACTTACATTTGCGGATTCCACTTACATTTTGCGTAACCCACTTACAGTTGCGGAATTCAGAACAACTAGCTATATTTAAATTGGCCGACAAAATTTACTTTATAAGTATATGTACGCGGAATCCATGAAAATCTTGTAAGTGGATTCCGCTTACTTTTTGGAACATGTTTAAATGCTTTTCTCTGGAATCCAGAAATAAACAGACACAAAATTGTGCGCGTATCCAGTGCACAGTTTGGCTTCGTAATGTTGTAGCTTAATTTCATTTAAAAAAAGAGATTATAATCGATTATTAATTGATTATAATCGATTGTTTCTCAATTTTAACAAGAGTGGTACTTATTCGTATTATAATCGATTATTAACGCTTGAAATTGGATGCGGGCACTGTCGTGGCTGCGTGTGTTAGCAAACTAAGCGTAAATAAATGAAAAAAGGTGTAAAGTAAGAATGTAAAATGTCCTCAAGAGTTTCTACATCTTTAGAAGCTTGAAGCTGGCAAGTCTTATATTCTAAATCTAGCGAAAATATAGAGCTGGTAATGCCTGGCCTTTCTTTATTTGTATCTCTCTTTGTATAAACTCTTTGTCTCTTTCTAAGGAAAAGAGTATTCAATCAAACAACACAGAATGGTTTGAAGGTTCTAGCTGAAGAGGATAATGGCGGCCCCTATCTGGTCACTAATTCGGTGTAGCATTTTTCCCGAACGGCAGATTACCCAATTTCCGATTGAATGACTGCATGTTGAATGGTTAATGTGAATGAGGGGCTGAGTGAACTCTAATCTGGGATTTTTTGGGGCTTTTATTTTCAAAAGACTAGAGGAATTTGAAAAAAAAAAACAACTGAAGTTAGGATGGGGATCTCCTGATGTTAGTTGAGGTTTGAATACACAATGTATTAATTTAGGCCGCAGAGAAAAACGCCGAAGAAACCAAATTAGAACTCTCTGCAAATCTCATCATAGAGACTGAGTTCTTCAGACGAAAAATACTGCGTCGTGGAAACTCGAAAAACAAGGGCCGAAACAACGAACTGTGGAAGCTAGACGACTCAAGGTCATTCGGACTAACGAGGATATTCGAAGGACTCTGGGGTAGATCCATTCTGTCCAAGTCCAGAATAATCCAGGAGATAAGAGAGCGATACTTGAATAAGTACGACTTCGACCTGGTCGAACAAGAAATGGAAACTGCGATGCTCTCAACCGCAAGCGGCCTGAATATGAAAGAGCTGCAAACAGTAATCGAGCGTGAGCTTAGAAAACAGCAGTTGTCCCTAGTAAGAGCACTCAAAAGCGATTTCGAGCCGATTTCAGAGTCTATTGATAAACTAAACGATCGTCAAAACATCACAAATGAGCAGTTGACAGAAAAATTTGAAACAACCATTCAAAACATGTCGGAAGATATTAAGAAATTTGTGCCGAGCGACCAACAGCTGGGATATGAACAGAAGTTGAATTCGCTTTTAAACATGGGCGCAACCAGAAAGAAAATCGATCAATTTGACGGTGAATTGTCGGAGCTGAAAAACTACATGGGAAAAATTGATAGACGACTGGCCGATTACAAAGAATTTATTGACGACACACCTTTGGAATCCATGGTCGATTTGCGCAAACGTGGAAGACAATCGAAGCCATAAAAAAAACAGAATTTGGCAAAAAAAAATTGATATCTGACAGGTTGTAGAATGTCAAATTGTTATTTAAGCAAGTAAGATTGTACATTTTGTAAGATGTAAAAAAAGTAAGATTGTACAGTTTGTAGTTTTTCAGCACTCAAATTGAAACCAACTTATTTTCAGATAATAATTAATTGTACCTTAAATGAGGGGCGGATTTGGGGGTGGGGTGTTGGCGGGGGTGGGGGGACGGGGTTCGCTTTCAGGAATTCGACCAAAAGATAGCCCAAAACTTCTCTACTTTTATACGATTAAACATCCATTTTTGACCGATTGACCTTAAAATTGTTCCAAAAGCACATGTGGTTAATTTACACTAAGTTTGAGGAGAAAAATCACGCCAAAAAACCTCATCTTTAGGTCGAAATTATTCAAATAAAGCTTCAAAAACAGCCCTTTTGGACTTTTTTTCAAGACCGCAATTTCTTATGTTTTCGGGCGATTTTGAGTTATACAGTTAGCGTTTTAGCTAATTTTTTGTGGAATCCAAAAAAGCAAGGAAGATCCAAGAAAACAAGCAATGTTGCGGACTCCGCGACAAATCAGCTTTCTGTCTGTTGCAGAATGCACTTACAATTCATAAACTACACCGACCCATTTGGGAGCGACTCAAAATTAGGTTGGAAAGCCGATAAAATATGAGATGAAACCATTTAGGGCAAAAGATTTTGTAAAAGAAAAAAAAATATACGAAATCAAAATCAGTAGAATTACAATAAAATTTGCAGAGTAAATGAAAAAATAGAAAGCAACTACAATGAAAACTGCATACAGCAAAAAAAATTGTATTATGTGAGAACTAAGTCGAAATAACAACAGCAGACAGATAATACAAACAACAGCGTAAGTGGACTTGAGACGCTTAAAAATTTGAATTCATTAAGAGCAATGATACCAAGTGATTCTGTTAAGCAAGATATAAACTCAAAAAAAGTCTATTCCGATTTGATGACGCTTCCTAATCGCACGCGTAACAATGTAATCGACTTCTTTAGGACACAAAAATCCTGAAAATCAATTTTTTATCTCAGAAACTTGTTTACAGCTAATTAAAATTTGCACAATTATGTTTAGTAAAATATCTACAGACACCCCAAATGATATAAAATCAACGTTCTGCTAATTTAGAACCCGAACGAACCTGTTCGTTCAAGTTTATATCACCCCTCAACGTTTGATATCCGACCCTACTTTCAAACGCACACTTCTATTGAAAAACTCAAGAACGTTTAACCCCCTCTCCCCACCAAACCAACCCCCACTCCCAGTTTACCCCTTCCCCCACTCCGAGTTTACTACCCCCACTCCCAGTTTACCACCCCCACCCGCTATTTAGTCCCTCCCCATTTTACCCCCACCACCTCGCCTGCCCCCACCACCTACCCTACTACAACTACCACCTCATCTACCCCTCCCCCAATTTAACATTTTGGGGTCTAAACAGTTGATTTACCTGCAACCACCCCCACCGTAAATGTGGGAGGCGGTGGCTTAAACAGGGGGGGGGGGGGGGGGTTGGTTGGAGCGTGGGTTGTTAGAAGTGGTGATGGAGTTTAAGTTGACTCAACTCCCCCGTAGCATATTTTTCCCCTCCCCTTCAACGATTAAATATCCTGCCCCCCCCCCCCCCCCGTTTCAAGTGAAGGGGCGGTGTGGTGTAGTGGGCGAATAGCTATTTTTCTCTATTGCGATGGTAAAAATGACAGTTAAATGTTGAACTGCGAAATTGAAAAAAACATATGCAATCATAGATTAAAAGCTTAAGAAAAGTAATCCATAGCAACTGCACGACAAAAGGAAATGAGATAACTTGCAAAAAAATTACAAAAATCACAAAAATTTGCAGGAGTCATCAATAATATCTCAAAAATATTAGGATTATAATCGATGATTTTTGCAATTTTATGGATTTTGACTATAAAATGACAATATGATCGATTATTATCTAGGAAACTCCAGTGCGGGCAATCAATTATCTTATGGATGAAGGAAATGAACCCTATTTAAGACGCACACAGAATGGAATCGAAGATTAGAAAACCATAACAAGTTAAGATAATGAAAAAAATATATTTTAAAATCGGTAGGAACTCCTGCGCGATAAAAACCCTAGACCCTCCCCTGCATAGTAGCTTAGATACTGTAGGGAGGCAGCTGTATATGTAAATTATTGATGAAGATAGTCAAATTTGAGCATACGAAATATACACCTTTGACAACATGTGGCCATTTGGTCGGCAAAAAACTGCTATGATATAGCTGCTAACATTGACTGGTGCTAATTTTGATCTAGCTAAGAATGTCGTTCGTTTTCTAGCCAGGGGTGAACAAAAATATAAGGTATTTAATAATACTTTTTAACAAACAATTGAGTTTCCTAAAGAACACACAAAAATTCTTTTTTTTGGCAATTTTCTGAGCTATATCTAACGCCGCTGTTAGATATAGCTTAGAAACTAGGCAAAAAATGTAATTTTTTGGTTTTTAGGAAATTCAATGGTCATGTTTGTTAAACATTAAGGTTACTAAATACCTTATACTTTTGTTCACCCCTACAAGAAATCTTCTACAACACAAGAGTTTATGCATACTTTATGCGAAACAATTGTCTGAATTTTGAGATTAGTTACGCCGCTGTTTTGTAAGGACGTCAAATGAGGAAACTTGTAATTCGCGTTGAATCAAATTGCGCGGTGAAATACATTTTTTAAGTTCATAGATTTTTCGGTGTGATAAGATAGTTCAAAGAGAATTCAAAACGTTTCTAAAAACGGTCAGAAGGTCAAAAACTTGACTTTGCGAAACCCACAATTTTTTTCTGCACAAAGCAGCTCTTGGCCGCTAAAGAAACCAGGTGCCTTGATTGAACGTTTTATCGATTGAACTTGAGAATTGGCACAGTTTTTTCCGAGTAATGTTTAAAAAATTTCCAAAAAACGGTCAATATTTCAAAACTTTGACTTGTTTGAAGGCCATAAAAATATTCTAAAAAATGGTGCGTAAACAATTAAATGGTAAGCTTTCAACAACCTCTTGTTTCAGTTTAACCTATTATATCAGATTTGGCAGATAGTTATCGAGAAAAATCGGTCCAGAAATCAGAAAACCAAAAATGAAAAGTGGTCCAAAAATAAAAACTTTGACTTTTCGATAAACATAGCTTTTTGTGTGAAAACTTGGGCATAGCCGTTAATGCTGAGATTCACGGAACCTGTAATTTTGATTGAACCTATAAACTCAGATTTAGGAGGGTAGTTCTCGAGAAAAATCAAACAATAAAACAATAAAAAATTCTTTTCTGAATGCGACATCTATTGGTGTAAAAACTTTGTGAGTGGCCGCTTACACTGAAGAGATTCACGGAATCTGTGCTTTCAATTGAACTCAAAAACTTAGATTTGGGAGGGCAATTCTCGATAAAAATCAAAAAATCAAAAACTAATCTTTTCCGAGTGCGACAGCAATTGATGTAAAAAAAACCGAGTGGCCGCTAATGCAGTGGAGTTTCACAATCTCAGCTTTTTGAGGTTAGTTTTGGAGAAAAGTCAAAAAGATTCAGAAACGGTCAAAATGTTTTTTTTTTAAATTGACTTTTTCGAGGGACATAAGTTGTGTACAAAATTTGGGCGTAGCCGCCTATGTAGGAGAGCCTTTCAATTTGTTCTTTTTATTGAAAGAAAAATCAGAAATATTTGGGAGGGTAGTTTTTGAGAACCACAAAAAAAATCAAAAACATGGTTGAAATATTCCCCCACAATTTTTTTCGAAAGCTGTAGACAAAAGAGTAAGGTAAAAAGAGAATTGGGGAGTATGCAGGCACACAGGGAAGCAGAGGACTTTCCATTAATACCCTCTTTGAAAATTCATAAGAATGTATTTGAGAAACAAAAAAACTTTTGCAAAATGTGAAAAATTTCTCCAACGCATCTAAAAGGAAACTTAAAAAAACCCAATAAAATGCATAACTCAACTTAGCAGTCGGATAAATTTCCCAATCGATTAATGCCTTCCAACCAATGCCTGTGAATCAGACTTCCCACATACTTTCACCAGAATCTGCTTTTTCCATTTTGCACAAGCTAATTGGAGGAAAATTCAAGCACTCCAAGAAATAAATCATTGCGCTGGCTATTGTCCCGATGCTAAAACAGTAATTGGGTTAAAATTTAACATTTTTCTGTACTTAAAAAAATTGAAAAGAAGTGAATTTTTTCTATGTTTAGCAGAACACGCCAAGAGCTTCCTTTTCCCATCCTCACCGGAATCAAGTTGAGTGCGCGCAAAACAAAACATATGACAAACAATTCAGCGGAAGGATAACACCATGCCTTTCAAATTGAGATGGGGTTCATACAAAAAAAACTTTTATTGAGTTTATTCGATGAGAACAAAGCCTGGTTGAAAAAAAAACAAAGCCCCGTTGAAAATAAACTAGTGAGAAACAGCTCTGGAAAAACAGATTAAATACAGTAAAATATGATGAAATAATTCGATTAAACAACCAGTATCAAAACGACTGAACAGAGCATTAGTTACAGGGACTAACTTTGAACATTGATTTCAAACTTTTTTGTTTCCTTTTATGTTAACTAATAATTTTTAAGAGAGGTCGCCTCTAACAAAGTCATGATTTTTCGTCTGTTCTGATTCAGCATTTGTTTTGACTTGTCGCCCAAACCCTTGTGAATTCTTATTTTAAAAACAACAACGCAAAATGATTAAAAACCTGAATGGCTTAGCACACATGGTTGTATTACAAACTCAGGCAGCAGTAAACGCAAATTCAAAGTTCATATACACTATTGATATTTGAAATTACGACTGAGAAAAAAATAGAATGAAATTGTGCAAAAATATTTAATGAAGTATAGTAACCAAGTTTTTGCATATCAATGCAAAACACAGCAACCCGAAGTTTGAAAAAGTGACGACAAAAAAAAAGAACCAAAAAAGGACTTAATTCAAAACCATTTTCAACCTTTAGCGAAAAAATCAAATATCCCTTGGGAATTTTTTGAATCTTCTATGATTGGCATTTTTAAAAATCAAAATCGGTTTCGAAAAACCTTGTAATTGAAGCAATTTTGCCTCACTCTAAGAAAACAAA